GATACAACTGACGTATGGATTGCAGTAAGAGTTGTAGGAGCCCTCAATAAAATGATCTTTTAATAAAAAATAAAAAAGATTTTTCCAGGTTACAACCCTTGATATGTAAGACATTCCTCATAGGATCAAGGCCCACAGTAAACCTCTGAGCAGTTGATTTGGCTCATGCCTCATAATACTGGTCTAACAGAAAGGAACTGGAAGCACGGCCCCACCCCCACCCCTTAGGACAGTATCTAGGCTTGCTATCTTTGATGGCGAATATTTAGCCTCTAGCTAGGATTCTGGGACTCAACATTTTTTTAAAAACTTATTCCCTCAAAATGTAAAATATTTGCAATGTCTTCCAATCACATTTAGGGGTAACAGCAGATAAGAGGGCTGGTGGGAAAACTACTGGATTTCAAATGAACTTTTTTTTTTTTTTGCGAGCCCTCCCCATGAACTTTGAGCCCACTCTCAAATGAACTTTTCTATTACCTTCATCTACATCACTTTATCTTTGGCTCAAAATTTTAACACGTGTATAGCTGTGACTATTTGCTACCGGACACAAGGAACGCTCTTTATTCCTACAGGGGCAGAGGGTTTTAATAGCCCTTCTTTCCTTTGCTTCAAGTTCAGTCTAATTTTTGCTTTTACACAAGTATTTTTACTTGTGTGTATACATGTATATAGATATAATCTGTGCATACACATCTCTAAAATGCTGTTTTTCTTTGCTAAAAGAGATCTAGAACACAGTGGAAGTTAGCAGAAGCAAAACATCACTTGTTAAAAGTCTTTAGGGAGCAAAAATATTTCTGCATCAACACTTCAGGGTTAAGCAACTCAAACTGTTGTTGTGTTTACCTAGTATTGGTTTATACTAACCAAACTATCAATAAGCTATCACCAACGAGAATGCAGTGTTAATAATTTCATGGGGAAAAGTTAAGACACAGCGTGCAAACATGTTATCAGGCTTCCCTGGACCTGCATTATAAATATACATTTCGTGCCCTACACAGTTGCAGCAGTACATTGACAGGGAGCTGCTTAGAGGTCCAGGCCCCTCTCAGGAGAGGGTGTAGAACAAGGGATTTTCATTGCTGATGTCAGATGGATCTTGGCTGGAAGCAGAAAATGTTTTGCTTGTATTTTTATTAACTATCCTGAGACATTTGACTGTGTGGATCATAATAAACTATGGATAGCCTTCAGAAGAATGGGGATGCCAGAACACTTCATTAAGCTTATGGGGAACCTGCACAGGAAGCAAGAGGCAGTTATGCAAACAAAATAAAGAGAAAACTGCATGGTTAAACTCAAGAAAGGAGTGTGTCAGGGTTGTATCCTCTCAACAGACTTTTTCAATCTGTATGCTGAGCAAATCATCAGGAGAAACTGGATTACATGAAGAAAAATTCAGCATCAGCAATGGAGGAAGGCTTATTAAAAACTAAAAAGCAGACGATACAACCTTGCTTGCTGAAAGTGAGGAGGACCTGAGACACTTGCTGATAAAGATCAAGGATTGCAGCCTTCCGTATGGATTACAACTGAATGTACAGACACCACAATCCTCAACAGGACCGACTGGTAACATCAAACTAAACAAAAAAAGGACTTCATCTTGTTTGGACCCACAATCAATGCTCATGGAAGCAGCAGACAAGAGATCAAAATATGCATTGCATTGGTAAATTTGCTGCACAAGATCTTTTTAAAATACTGAAGAGGAAGGATGTTACTCTGCGGACTAAGGTGCATCTTATCTATGCCATGGTAGTTTCAATTGCCTCATGAATATGACCATTGGGCACTGAATAAGGGAAACCTAATAAGAATCAGTCTATTTGAAAAAAAAAATCAGTCTATTTGAATGTACACTGTACAATGTATGGTGCTGGTGAAGAATACAGAAAATACTATGGACTGCCAAAGGAACAAACAAATCTGTCTTGGAAGAAATATGTCCAGAATGCTCCTTAGAGGCAAGAATGGGGAAGATTTTGTCTCATGTACTTTGGCCATGTTGCCAGGAGAAACCAGACCCTGCAGAGGACATCATGCTTGGTAGAGCAGAGGGGCAGCAAAAAAGGGGAAGGCCCTCAACAAGATGGACCGACAGTGGCCGCAGCACGGACGCGAGCATGACAATTGTGAAGACGGAGCAGGGCTGGGTAGTGTCTCGTTCCACTGTAAGGAGGTCGGTCGACAGGAGTAGAAACAGACACCTCTGCTTAGCAACAGCAGCAGCTGCACAGGCTGTTTGAGAGGTGACCAGGCGGAATTTCAAGTTTATCAACAAATGAGACCAAACTCTCCAGTTAAACCTTACATTTTCTCTTTTCTTAGGAGCCCTGGGGCATAGTGGGTTCCGGTAGGGCTGCTAGCCACAGGTCAGCAGCTTGAGAGGAAAAGATGAGGCTTTCTACTCCCAGAGTGGAGAATCTCAGAACCTGGCTAGGGCAGTTCTACTCTGTCCTACAGCGTCACTGTGAGTCGGAATCCAGCTGGTGGCAGTGAGTCTTCCTTTCAAACCTTTCAACTGAAAAGGTTTATTTATTTTCAATTTCCTCTCCTTAAAAA